ATGCTAACTATTCTTTCTAGCAAAATACAATACACGATTTTTTGCGGATTTACAAATCTACCCAAGAGATGGCCAAAAATCTACTAAATTAATCAAATAAAGGGCTTATTGGAGTCAGAACAGAATTGAAATGCAAGACAATAAAGACTTTTTAATATTTTGATCACCTGTGTGGAAACTATACATGTTTCAACTTTCAAAATTTATTGATCAAAACTGGACGCCGTGTACATAAGCTTCACGAGTTTGAAGTTTTTTAAGCTTTTTGAAGAAAATTACAATCGAGTAAGTCTAGATTCATGATCTTAAAAATTATTGATGCAGAAGGATGGATCGGTATGAACCCAAATAATACCATATAATTTGCAATATAGTCATTGAAAGACTTCTGAAATTGACTGAGACCTAGAGAATTTTGAATAAGTTATAAACTCAAAGACACTGAAAAAATATAAAGAAGCGTTTTTTATAAAAAAAAAGTTAAGTAGGTCTTGGTGGTCTAGCATTAGTTAGGATCTACGGAGTGGTTAGAATTTTTTCTATAGAAAACCGTTGATATTTGTTAATTTAGTAAAAGTGTAAAACAGCGTTCATAGTGTTATTAATTTGTTGCAGGTTTCTAGAAAATTTGTTTTTAATCGTAATTTTAAAAAGGCACTGGTATGTTTTTTAAAAATGTCTTGAGAGGACATCAGACTCCATACTAAAACAGTCAATTCGCGAAAGTGTTTTGTAATCTTCTTCAGATAACGCAAAAACCAGGGACGAAGACAGTGGACCGCCCCAAACATTTTTTATAGTTGTAGCAAGGAAATGAAATGAAGATATTGTTCAATATTCAAAATGCTTCTTATTCAAAATGCTTCTTATTCAACAACCAAACATTTATCTAGACTATGTAAGTTTGTTTTGGTGGCGCCCAAGGCACGATATCAATTTAATGAAAAAAAAAAAATTAAAAAAAAATTCTTACTGCGTTAATGAGAAAAAAGTATCTATTTGAAAGTGTAAACCATTTGGTAAAATAAATATGCTCCGTTGGTGAGTTGTCTGGGTTCAATTCAACAAAGTCGAAGCATGGAGGTTTCGCAGAAATTGCCCATCACTCAAGTGGATGGATGGCCGGTGGCTACTTCACACTGATCGTAGTAACGTATTTGCCTCAGCATACCCACATGACAATCTATGTTTTTGTCTCCGTTTTCTTTTTTCCCATAACTGACGAGCGACGAGTGCGTCTGATCTGTCGTCCGACCGTCCGCCCCCATCCTCCTCCGTACCCCAACTCTTCTCCGATGAACCATGTCCACCGCTCAGATATGATGAGGTGGATTATTGTGATAATGTTGGTGTGGTTATCTTTTGCCTCTAAAGCATTACTGTTTGTACTTTTTTTTATCTCTGTCAAAGTCTGTATTTTTTCTACAACAATTGTGAGTTGTATGTTGTTGTTTTAATGAAAGCATCACCTCAACACAGGTGGGAGATTGTTTATAGTTGCCAAATCTGATACGCAGAGCAAAAGAAGATTTTTTCTACTTTGCTGCTACAAACATTTTGATTCATACCTCGGCATAAGAAAAAGACAAAAGTCAAAGAAAAACATACTTTGTCTCTCTGAACGAACAAGAAAAACAACAAATTTGCACAATCACTTTGTATATAACCACCACTTTGTTTCCAAAAGCCCACACCTTACAAGCTGGAACGAAGCGAGAGGTGAGAGTAATGTTTTTACAATTGTTTTACAAAAACTACAACTGTCTTTCGATGCACTGCCGTAAATATTGCTATCGTCATAGAAACAATGTGACCTTGGCACACCACAATCGGAAGGGAAATTGAAAAGAATGCTACAAAACAGCTACTACCCATGCAGATGTTATCAAAATCGGGAATATCTTGTGGTTGGATACATGGGCACATTTTCATTCGAGAAGATAAAAAATATAGTCTACACCAAAATTTGAATATTAATCACGATAATGGTTGACTAAACGTGATCTTTGATAGTGAAGAACGGTAATTGCGAGAAATTGTATGAGGAAATTAGGAAATGTTTTGTGAAAGATATTAACAGTGTCAGAGGTGTTATTAATTTTTATTAATTTTTAACATGAACCAACTTTGTATCTACACATAGCGATTTTCATTTACCTAGCTGCATTATGGATTTTTCTACCGAAAAGAAAATCGTCTAACAATTTGTTTGCATTGTAATTTCAAAATTACATAGGTTTTCAGATGACGATACTGCTATTCTAAGGAATGTGCCTGTACATTCAGGATCTCAACGCAATTAAACTACCGAAATTTGAACCACTGCTAGACACGGCAGACACAAAAAAAATCGAGCTTTTGCTATCCAAGGCTACGAAATACAAACTTAGGCGGACAACTTCCATATCCACCCTATAGCTATAGAATATCTCCTCTGCGCTCTATATCATTCAATATATATACACCTAAATTTACCTTAATATATTTATAATTTGAAAATTTAGTTTTGAAACATTATAAAACAAGAATTTTGATAATGAATTTCTCATTTGGTCTGAGGGAGTTAAAATTCAAAAGGCGTCAGTTGTGCTAAATAGGAATGGCGTACGGCCAACTTTCAATTGGTATGTGGTGGTTGTTAAAAAATAGAATTTGTGTGAAAGCAGATACTATTGGAGGTGGTGACAGGATAGATATGTTCCTTAAAGGGATTGGTAAGTCAACATTTGGATTTTCGATAATAAGTTCTTGGTCGAGCTAAAATATAAACAAAGTATTTTAAGTTGTGACCCATATTTTCGTATAACCCCAATTTTATTATCCATTCAAAATCTAAAATTCGAATCGAAAAAAAAAACAAAAAAACTAAAATCGGAAACGATTTTTAGCAATGTCGACAAAGTCGACTTTTGTTCTTGACTAAGTTTAATAAATCCATTAATGGCCTGATGACACGCAATGTTAATAACCGGAGGCGGAAGAGTCCATCGGACTTAATAACTAAAATTAATACAATATCCATGTACTGTCGTCAGCTCATGTCTACGTAACGTTGTCCCTTCGAAGAGCTGATTGGACCATTCAATGTAGTATTTCCTGCGAACGAAAATAATAAACTGTTCCTGGGGAACGTCAACAAAGGGACAATTTTTTTGCCCTTCCAATTCAACACCGAAGGATGGTTTTGTTCTGTCTGCAGATTACGCCTTATAGCAATCCTCTGCAATTGTGGTCAAGGCTGATGCAACAAGCACCCAGCCTACAATCAAGCACAGGGGGAAGAGACTTAAAATCTCAGTAGATCAGATCTTCTGAAGAGCCCTGCAAAATATTTCGAGCAAAATATAAGGCAAGTGCAACAACTTTAAAAATGCAGTTCCAAGAAGGATTTGAGAGAGTTTTCGTTTATACTCCGGTACTTTCTGGATTTTTAAAATATTTTAAAGGCCCAAGCCAAGTGTTTATTTAGCGATTTCACCATAATTGAAGTTCTCCTCATGTCCTCATGGAGGACTTAAAAAGTCTTTTACGTATTTTCTTACTTTTGGAGAAAATTTAAACAATTTCGCAACTTTTTATCAATAACCCGTCCCAAATTTTGACTCCATTCAAATATCAGATCCCTGGATAAAAAAATCATGAATAGAGACCCACCACTCTAAAATTAGTATTTTTGACTAGAATCTTTGTTGGTTAAAAACGGACCCACTTTGCCCTAGAACCATTAACACAAATTCAACGCACCATTTGCAGTGAATCAAAAAATGACATTGTCACAAATATGACAGATATTCGGCTAAAAATGTTCCATTTTTTCTATTTTTCTCTCTTTTTTTCAAAACCATACACACAGCTATTCTTTTCAAAATGAGTGCTGGGCCACTTTTCCCCCGCACTCACACATATATCCACACAAACACACATACTGCTACTTAAACGGAGAAACGGAAAAATATGTTTGAATAAAAAAAAAACGAAGAAGAAATCGATGAAAAATGCATGATGCCGATGCTGTGGAGATGAGGATAATGTATTGCGTGAAGAAAATGTGAAAAACAAGTCTATTTTTAAATATGAGAAAAAGCTTTTCTTTCTCGCGCTTCTCATGAGTTTACCTACTGAAAAATGAAAATGTTCGTATCTATTGAAAATCCAACGAAATAAAGAACTTGATAAAGATCGAAGAAAGGGGGGCAGGAAATATCTAGAATAAAAGTTAGAGAGGATGGACTTGGTATTGCAGTGGCAGGGGAACCGAACTGGATCACCCTTTCTTATTAAGATGTGAAAAATGGGTCGGTGGGAAAAGTGTGCGAGAGCTGGCCCACACCTTCTGTGACTTTTCGCGGCCAAGACAATTTTGATACTGAAAAACAAATTCTAAAAAGTTTTGAAATTTTTAAAAATAATTCTATAAAAAATAGACTTTTCGTGTGGGCGTTTGGGTGGATGGATGGCTTTCAGTGGTTCTTGCAATATAGCGACAAAATATTATTTATAAGATTGTGTTGCTGTTGTTGTTTTTGTTGTTATCGTTTCACTTTTCGGGGAAAATAAAAAACGACCAAAAATTTAGTATTCCAATATGTGAGGCAAAGAAGACGTAAGGAGGGAATTTTTCACATAAATTTTCAAAAAAAAAGAAAATATGTATGAAAATACATACGAGTGTGTGGGGGTGGGGAGTGCGAGGAGAAGAGATCTGACCATCATGATGGTGCTTTGGGGCGGTGTTCAACAGCTGCTGCGAGCATGTGAAGAATGTCTACATGCACAGATCGCCCAATATCTCTACATTTATTTATATTTGTATATGTATGCAGCATCAGTAGGATTCGTGTGTGTATGTGTGTGGGTATATCGGTGGTAGATATATTGGGATTATATATCAGTAGCCAATCAATTTTCTCTATGAATTGAATTTGACAAATCCATTCTAATATCGACAAATATTGATATTTTTATGTAACAATGATTGTGAGAGTTTCGACACCACTTACCTTCTTCTGTTGTTTCTCCCAGGCGGGATCCAAAAGTCCCTCGCGCTCCCACTCTTCTTCCTGCTCCATGTAGTTTTCACCATAACCTTCCATGGAGAGACCGTTCTCCATCATCATTTTGAATTCGTCGTGTTACTGTAGTTGAAGTTGAAATGACGTTTTAGTTTAGTTAGTTTGGTTTTCTCGGATTTATTATTAGATTTGTTTAATTTTTTGTGTCTTAAACTATTTTGTGTTTTTGTTGCTGTTCTTTCGTTTTGTTCTTTCAGGGAGTAGAGGGATTTAGAACGTTAAGAAGTCGATTCCAACACTTCTTGAAAGTTGGAAGCGAAAAATTAGCGAATTATACTAAAGCAATTGGTATTTCGTTCGAAGTATCCTTAAGATTCTAAATCTAAATAGAAAAAAATACACATTCAGAGGGTAAAGAGGGAAAGAAAACGTAAGAAATTCAGAAAAATACAATGTAAGCAAGAGACAGACCAAAGGCCCAAAGAAGAAAATAACGACAAATGCAAGAAGAAGAAAGCAGGGATGTCTTCTAACTGCAGCAAATTCAAATCTAATTTTAAAATATCCACTTAAATAAAATACATATAAATGTTTCCTTTTTTTTTTTTTGTTTTCTTTATATTTTTAAATGCAGAGTTTTGGCACAATTTTTGAAAATAATTGCCATGCAGCAATTCAGTTTGTTGGTTCAAATATATGCGAAAAAAGTAATGAAATTTTCGTAATAGAGGCAATTTCCTCTTTTTTTTCTTCGTTTCTGCCTCTCTTCTTTTCTTCCTCTTCTTCTGGTTGAAATGGAAAATAAAACTTTTTTAAAAGATTTTTCTTTCGATTTATTTTTTTCAAATTTTTCATTTCTTTTTTATTCTTGTGATTGTATAACACTAGTTTATTGTTGTTGTTGTTCTCTATTTAAATTCAATTTTTATATTTATATTATTTTTTTTAAATAGAAAAATATTTCTATGTCGGCCAAAGCAGCAATATCCACATGAGTTTTTTTAGTTTAAAAAAATTATATATTTTTTCGATATTGAAATGTTCATATAATACACATTAATATTATGTGTGTGTATATATGTATGTAGATCGAATTTATATATCTATTGTATATATAGGATGAATATTTTTTTTTTTTTTTGGTTTTTTAGAACGATAGATACGTGTGTCGCTTGCAAAGAGAATGACCCGCTCGCGTTGGTAGCCAACTCAAAACTAATGTTGCGCCAACGATAATCGTGCGTTCGAACTCGTAAGAAAACTTTCTGTTGGATTTTTGTGCAACTTTACTTTGGATCCCTAGGTGCTCGGTGTTCGCCGTGATCTTCAGTGGTTTGTGGGTTGGTTGCCTGCTACTCATTTGGCTCTCTCAGTGCTCTTGTTTCGATGTTCGTGTCTGATGAATGGCCATTGCTCGCACTCATTCATACACTCGCCGCTCACCCAAAACACTATGCAAACAAACAAACAAACCATTCTCAATGCCCCCAACAGCTGCGTTGACGTCACACAAAATTGCAGCTAACTGCGCTGCTATGGTGCCAACCAAAAGGGGAGACACCAGATGTAAAGCAATGTTGTTGTCTTGCCAGTTGTTCGTTTTACGACTGACGTTGCCGTTGTCGTCGACGTCACAATATTGGCTGAGAAACAATCAATCGATGGCTCAGGAAACATAACAGGAGAGCAACCTGCTTACCTCCCTTCCATCAACTACACCTCCCCCCTGCCATCAACTACACCTCCCCCCTGCCATCAACCAAACCAGCCAAACAAACATACAAAATAACATCCGAACTCAAAAAGCCCTCTCTCATCGCCTCAATATCGAAGAGTCAACAATCAATAGACAGGATGTTCGTTGTCGATAGCTATTAAATATACCCCAAGATGCACATAGCAAAGGTACATACATATGTATGTGTGTATACATACAAAGTGACCGTTAAAGAATGTTTATTTGCCCCATTGACAGAAGCAAAAAGTTATTTATCATCTGGACAAAGAATGAGGCGACTGTCAACAGCTATATGTGTGGGTGCTATGGGTGACAATATGAGCGGTGTTTCTGCATTTGATTTCTAATGGAAAAAAACATGACAAAAGTTAAACTCGGGACAGTTAAGATCATTGACAAATGAAGTAGCAGACGACCTTTATCCCCCATGCATCCCCTGGTGACAAACATGATGCTTATACTACTCTGTGAAAAAGTGTCAAGTCTCAGTTAAAAGTGCAGGCTCTTAGGTTAGGTTAAATTAGGTTAAAGGATGTGTGGTTGTGTAAACAACCACTCCACTCGTTGGTCCATTGTGTCCAGAGAAGATGGAAGAGTAAAATATTAAAAGGGAAGGAAACGATAAGTGAAGAAGCGTGAATTTGACGATATTAATAGAGAAGTTAGTAGGTTTGTATACACGGTGTAATCAGCGTGTCACCCTTAGCCATTTTAGTCCTCTGGCTAACTGAAGAATGACCGCTGGCTCGGTTTCGGAGAGGGAGGACAAGTCGGGCAAAATTTACTTAAACAGTAGCCTCTGTCTCACTCCGATAAGAGTTGGGCAGTGGCAGAGTTAGTGCTCCAGTTTCCCCCTCGCCCTGACAAAGCATGCAGTATTCAGTATCGTCACCCCCACGTGAAAATCTTGGCCCTTATGTTGCAGTGTCCTGTAATTAGGCCCACCACAAGCTTCAAGTCCGACTTCGTCATGGATATGAGTGACTTTGATCTCCTTTCGGAGTTCACCGGCCAAATCTTTTTGGAGATATTACCTCCCCTTTCAGTTAGCCCGTTTAGTTGAAATCTCCAAAGATAGTGTTTAGCAGTATTTCGAAGAAGTGGAATAAAGGTGGCTTCACTGAGCTCTCAATCTCTAGATCTATAGTTGCTTCGCTTGGCCGAAAGCGGTAAACTGCCGAATTTGGTTTTCTCCGATGAGAAAACATTCGTTGTCCAGCAGTTTGTAAACAAACAAAATGATCGTGTTTACTTGCCAAAGAGGTCAGCTGAAAATGGGCACCTTCGGTTAGCCACCAGAACTCAAGCTGCGATGGTCGCTCTGCGCTCGTATTAATCGACCGTGGCATCAGATTAAGTGCCGAATATTATCGCTAAAATATTCTGGAGGGTTTATTAAAGCCTTGGGCACGCAAACATTTTGGCCGCAGACCTTGGACATTCTAACAGGACTCCACCCAAGAATGGTTACAAAATGCGGTTCCTCGCTTCATTTCCAGCGCACAATTGGCCGTTTGAAGGTCGTAATTCGTGCCAAAGGTGACCAATTCGAACAAATCTAAACTTATTCTATAATGTGATACTATTTCCGAGATTCAATAAAATTAAGAAAAAATGTAAAAATAATGGCGTTTGATTTCATTGCAGTTTTTTTATCTCACCCTGTATTTTGCACAAACATGAAATTTCGTTATTAGTTGTTTTTAATCTCTGATAAATATTAGAGATCAAAAACAACTAATTTGAAAGTTTAGGAACCCAAGGCCTGGTATTAAGATGGAATATATCGGTTCACTCCTTCTAGTACCTCCCCCACAAAATTTTTGAAATTTTCAAAAAATATATTTTCCAAATATTTGCGTCAGTGCTAGGTCAGGGGAGAAAATGGACAATATCGGTCCACTCTATTAAGTACCTCCCCCACAAAAGGTCGAAATTTTAAATATCCATAAAGCTCATAAAACGCGAAGTAAATATCCGATTCCATTCAGACTTAGTATACTCCATATTTCCATCAACACAAGATCTGTTATAAAGATGGGAGAGATCGGACCATTTCTTCTGGTACCTACTCCCATAGGGTTTAAGATTTTGAGAAACCAAACGATCAAAGTAAGTCAAATATGAATTCAAATCTATTTAAATTTCACACTTACACTTTTGCTAACACAAGATCTGTTGTGAAGATGATTTATATCTACTTCTTGTATCTCACCTACAAAGGGTCACAATTTTCAATACTTTTATCTATCATAACTTGCGAAACCAGTCAGCGATTCTTTACAATTTGATATATATTAATATTTCTCTCAATGGACTTTAGGATGAAGTTACCAATATAGACCAAACCTGGCACGTGACAATATTTATATCGATATGAAATGGACAATACTGGCCCATTCCTTCAGAACCCACTCCATAGAAAAATATTTGTAAATAATCGAACATTGGCTGAGGGTTGACATCTGTCGGCAAAACCGACTGAAACTTTTTAACTTGTTATAAATAAAACTAGGAGTATAGGTTGTAAAAATAAACCCAATTTAAGGTTATTAAAGGACTTCTCAACAAAATGGTCTTTAAATTGGACATGACTGGTTCTTAACGAGTGTGAAACATCTTTGCAATATATTTCTATCTGATAATCATTTCCACTGAATATCTTAGCTCTACCATAGGTGTGAAAATATATATTTCATTACTAAAAACCAGTCTTAAAGTCGGGCGGGCCGACTTTATGATACCCTACACCACTTTGCTAATTTAGTAAAGCTCTGCATAACAATTAAAAATTTTTATGGGAGAAATCAATCATACACGCTATGATTATTGTTATAATTTAAAGTTCAAAGGACTAAATATGCCGAAGCATTTGTATCTTTTAAATTCGGACTTGTATTGCACAATTAATTTGAAATCGGATGAAGATTTGGCAAAGATATTTCTGAGCTGTATTTGATATATTTCCCTGAATATCGTTGTTACGGAGTGCATATTACGGCTGTGGGTAACAAATATAACAAATCGGATGAACAGTATATATGGGAGCTATAGCTATATCTGAGCCGATCTTCACCAAATTTAACATACTAGCTTCTAGACTCAATTCGGTCGTAAGTGCCAAATTCTATCCCATTTGGACAAATATTAGACGTTTGGTGCACAATAAAAGGTAAATCGGACTAAGTTATATATGGGAGCTATATCCAAATCTGAACCGATCTCGATAAAATTTAGCAAATGTATTTCTGAGCTGTATTTGATATATTTTCCCAAATATGTTGTTACGGCTGTGGGTAACAAATATAACAAATTGGATGAACAGTATATATGGGAGCTATAGCTATATCAGAACCGACTTCGATCAAATTTGGGATACTTATTTTCAGGCCTAATTTTGTTGTAAGTGCAAAATTCCATACTATTCGGGCTGATATTACACGTTTGGTGCACAATAAACGGCAAATCGGACGAAGATATATATGGGAGCTATATCTAAATTTTGACCGATTATTTCCAATTTCAATAGGGTCCTTGGGCCAAACAAATGATTTGTGCAAAATTTCATCTATATAGGGCAATAAATGCGAACTGTACTTTGTTTACAAAAATAGACGGACGAACATGCATAAATCGACTCAGAATGTAATCCTATGCAGATCATCAAAAGGAACTATAGGTCTATCTCGTTTCCTTTTGCCTGTTACACACAAATGCACAAAGACATAATACCCTGACGACCTTGTGGTGTAGGGTATAATAACGACGCTAAGGTGGATCGGAGACTCCTAGAATCCTATAGAATAACCTACGATCCACATCACCCATCGGAGTGAGATGGATCAAACTGTTTCGAATAGACCGTTAAAGAACCAAGAAACCACTTTTCTTTCTACTACCTAGGGTAGTGACAATAAAAAATGCCACGACATATCTGCCTTTCGACGAAAATAAAAAGAAAGTCAATGAGAGAAATCTGCCTTCGGACCGAACACGATGAAGGCCTAACAATGACCATTAAATAGATCGATCAATCGACTTTTGTTGTTGAAATGTCTAAAAAATCGCACAGCCGATTTTTGGCAAACGATTTTACATTTTCTGTTTTCTGTTTTGAAATCCGAATGTCAATGTTTAACTGATGGAACGAAATCGGAAGCTCGAATTGTAAACTTTTTTCTTTGAAGGTAAAAATCGAAAAGTCGACATTTCCTAATAAAAACCTAGGACAATTGCAAATTACTAAATGAACAAAAACCTTTGGGCTAACAGAGAGGGAATCGGAAATATCTGTTTTGTAGATTTACGTTTAAAAAAGTACCTAAATGACTAAACTAGTTATATATTTTTAGATTTCTATCCCAGTTCCTTAAAAATAAATCTAAATCAAGTATTATTTTGAATAGCCTTACTAATAACACACATACACTGCATTACTTATAAACCCGATCAACCAAATATAGAAAATAAATTGTCAGGATATATTTTTGGATGTAAACTAATTCTGCATTTGTTTGATTTTCAATCCTAAATACATAAGAGTATTAAAGTTTGCATTAGATTTATGATGCAACAGCAATTC